GTCATTCACAGCCACACTGACCACTGGACTGTCCGGTCGGCCGGGGGCTTTGTCCACTGTGTCTGGGCGCGGTCTATCTCCTGTGGGTGTAATCCCACCTTCAGCCCACCCCCACCTCCAGAAGGGCGGTCACTCAGCCATGCCAGCTTAGTGTCGCTAACAGGTGGGTCAGATCCATCTTCAGTCTCTGCTTGGAGGGCAGGAGGCGTGAGCGAGAATTTTTCACCTTCCCCCCCCCTTTTGGTATTTGGGCTCCATCCAGCAGTGCTCAGGGCTGACTCCTGGCTCTGTGCTCAGGGAATCACTCCTGGAGAGCCTGGGGGAGTGTATATAGTGCAGGGACTCGAACCCAGGTCAGCTGCATGCACGAGCACTGCCGTTCCTACTGAGCCATCTCTTCTTTTTGAGGGACTCCTGTGGCCACGGCCTCTTGAATAGGGACCAGGGGGTCCCCTCCCTTTTTTTTTAAAAAAATTTTATTTTAATGAATCACCGGGAGATACAGTTACAGACTTACAAACTCGCATGATGACGTTTTGGTCACACAATGTTCCAACACCGAACCCTACACCCGTTCCCATTCTCCATCACCAATGTTCCCAGTATTCCTCCCGCCACCCCCCTCTCCCCACCCCCGCCTCTGTGACAGGCACATTCCCTCTTCCTCTCTCTCTTCTCCTGGGTGCTATGGTTTGCAATGCAGGTAATACTAAAGAGCCCATCCTGTTGGTCCATAGTCTACTTTCAGCACGCATCTCCCATCCTGAGCGAGCTCTCCAACCATCATTTACTGAGTGGTTCCTTCTCTATCCCAGTTGCCTTTTCCCCCATTACATGAGATCGGCTTCCAGGCCGTGGAGCGATCCTCCTGGCCCCTGTCTCTATTGTCTTTAGGTGTTAGTCTCCTATTATGTTCCCCTCCCTTCATAACTTGTGAGTCTCTGTCCACCGCCAAGGCTGGGAGGAGCTTTAGAAGTGAAGCTTCGCTTTGAAACCCTTCCAGCTGAAACCGAGTCAGAGAGGCTCGCGCCTGGGGGAGCCTTAGGGGGGCGTCTGCACCCAGCTCAGTGCTCCGAGGGGCCATGGTGGGGCGCCTGGACCCAGGACAAATACGACAAGGCTCCCCACGCATCACCTGTCGGGGGAACCAGGCACTGAGCACGGAAGCTGTGTCAGTGAGTGAGGCTTCGTGGACGTGTTTTACTCCGGCCGCGTCAGAGCGAGCTGAGTTAGAAACTGCCTGAACCTCTGCCGCGTCCAACCGCAGCTTGGGTGAACTGGCGGCGTCAGAGGCGTTTCTGTGCCTCAAGCTGCGGCTCTCTCCATGCTGTCCTGTGGCTGGACGCGTGTCCAGGAGCCTCAGGGCGAGGGGGTGGGGCACGCTTCGTGCCCAGCTCCAGCTGTCAGCATGGGTGCAGCCCTTAACCTGGGAATCGGGTCTTGGATGTGTACCCCTGGGGATCCATCCCCAGAAGGCAGGCCGCCAAGACAGAAAACCCCAAAGCCCCCCAAGGCCTGGTCACTACTCGGGGCAAAACTCAGTGAAGCAACACTCTCCGCACTGCCATGGGCTGGGCAGTTCCCTTCCTGCCTCAGGACCCAGAACTCTCAGCTCCAAAATTTTTAAGTCTTCAGGCTGGAGCTATAGCACAGCGGTAGGGCGTTTGCCTTGCACACAGCCAACAGGGCCGACCCGAGTTCGATTCCTCCGCCCCTCTCAGAGAACCCGGCAAGCTACCGAGAGTATCTCGCCTGCACGGCAGGGCCTGGCAAGCTCCCCGTGACGTATTCGATATGCCAGACACAGTAACAACAAAGTCTCCAATGGAGACGTTACTGGGCCCGCTCGAGCAAATCAATGATCAATGGGAGGGCCAGTTTAAAACGTGTGATCAGTGACCAGAGAGACGGCACAGTGAGGAGGGCGCTAGCCTCATACAGAGCTGACCTGGATTCGATCCCCAGCTCCCCATCTGGTTCCGTGTTCCCTGAGCTCAGAGCCAGGAGTCCGCCCTGAGCGCAGATGGATGTGCCCAAAAAACAAAAGCAAAGAACCTAAAATTTACCTAAAAAAAAAAAAAATTAAATTCTACTAAGTGAATTTCAGGAAGAAACGCAGGTGAAATTACAGAATAGCTTGAAAAAGACGGTGATGAAAAAAAATCATCAAAATGTGTGGAAACGCTGCAGGAAATCACATTCAGGAACTACAGTCATAAAAAGGGAGAAATGAAAATGAATGAGAGGGCCGGGAGAAATAGCGTAAGCGGGTAAGCGGGAGGGCGTTTGCCTTGCACCCGGCCAACCCGGGTTTGTTCCCCCACACCCCATAGGGTCCCTCAGGCCAACTGACGCAAGGCAACCGCCCTCCCCACTGGATTATCACTCCGAGCCCCCAGGAATGTTTTTTTTCTGGTCTGGAGGCTGAGGCTCCCTCCTGGTGCCGTCAGGCTGTGAGACAGGCCTTCGCCAGCCCCTCCTCATCAGGACTGGGGTCTCCTCCTATTCCTCACTCCTGGGGGGCCTGAATGTTCATCCTCCCACTCTGAGGATCTTCTCCCCCAGCCACCCAAGCTCCTCTGTAAAAAGCATTCCCCCAAATGCCGGGCAGTTTGGGGCGTTAGGAGTGAGATGCAGAGCCTTAGGCATGGGACACACAGAAGTGAATGTGGGCCCAGCACAGGCGGGCTTCACGCAGGAGGTGGCGCCCTGGACTGCCGGGCCAAGCACTGAGAGTTTGGGAGGAGCCAAAATCGAAGAGGAAAAGAAAAGAAAGAAAAAGAAAGTTCTCTGAAGTCCATGAGAATTTAAATAAATTAAAGAAATAAAGGAAGCCCCCAAGCCGGAGGGACTTGTGGGTCCTGCGGGGGAGTGGGGGAGGGGGCTGGGTGTTTCCTCTCAGGGACTTCTCCCTGAATGCGGCCCTCGCCTCATAGAGCACTGCGATCCAGGAGCACCTGTGCAGACGCTGCCTGCCGAGGTGGCGGGAGCACCCCAGAACACGGCTGCCGTGCGTCATGTGAACATCCACAGCATTACAGTGACCCGCGGTCTGAGGCGCGGGGACGGAGCGGGTGCGTGTTCTTGAGCCGGCCTCCCTGGGTGCCGTTGTTCAAGCCTCTAACACAGCCCCTTAGCGCACTCTGGCATAGACCAAAAGGCCCTGAAGCCCCATGGGGCTTGTCCTGGCTGGGGGGGGGGGGGGGGGGGGCGGGTGGCCAGTGCCCAGGCTCGGCGGCGGGGCTGCACCCGGAGGGCAGGTCTGTCCGCCAGACAAGTCACCACCCACCCAGAGGAAACATGGGCACACTCACAGCGGGGCCACCAGGGGCCACCATCTGTCCCCTCCCTCCTCCCTCCCTCCCTCCTTCCCTCCTTTCCTCCTTCCCTCCTTCCCTCCCTCCCTCCCTCCTTCCCTCCCTCCTTCACTTCCTCGTTCCCTCCTTTCCTCACTCCCTCCCTCCTTCCTGCCCTCCCTCTCTCCTTCCCTCCTTTCCTCTTTCCCTCCCTCCCTCCCTCCCTCCCTTAGTCCCCTTCTTCCTTCACCATCTGCCTCCGTGTCTGCAGGTGCCTGGCTGCAGGGGGGCTATGGGAGGCCAGGGGTTGTCCCATCCCTGTGGTGACAGCACGGCCGCGGGTTGAGAACCACAGTGCTGTCCTCTGTTCTTCCCGGAAACACAACTCCCCGTGGACATGTGTGCCTCCTCCGCGCATGTGTACTTGCAGCATGCATATGCCCTCACTCATGTGTTTGCGTCTATCTGCATGTGTATAATGTCCTTTACACAAGTATACCCATGTCAATGTGCAAATGTGTGCATGTGGGCATGTACATGCCCTTGTACATGTGTTTACACATGGGCATGCATACCTCTTATGTGCACATGTGTACACATGGGCACATATGTGCCCTTGTACTTGTGTATTCTTGTGTGCATATGTGTAAATACATGTGCCTTTGTCATTGTACGTGCCTATGCATATGGGTATGCATATGTATTTTACATGTGTAAAATGTATACGCATGTGGATACATGTATGCCTTCTGTGTATGTGTCCTTTTACATGTGTGTTATTCTGTTGTGAGTTACCTTGTGCATGTATGTGCATGTGCATTTGTACATCCACGTGTGCATGTTCCTGTACACGTGAGTATGCATGTCCTTGTATGTATGCTTTTGTACATTTATGTATGCCGTGTGTCCTTGTACATGTATGCATGTCCTTGTATATGTATGTGTGTTCTTGTGGGTGTGTGTGTGTGTGTGTGTGTGTGTGTGTGTGTGTGCAGGTACGCATTGCCCTGTGTCAGTGTATGAGCATGCAGGCAGACCATGTGCATCCTTTGTGCACTCATGTGGGTGTGCATGCACCTATGAGAATGCACAGGTTCTGTGTACCTGTGTGCACGCATGCATGTGCCCTGTGCTCTGTGTGTGTGTGTGAGTGCGAGTGTGTGTGAGTGTGGACACCTCAGACGCACAGGAACAGTGAGAAGCACCTTCCCCTCAGCTGTGGCGGCGCAAGCAGTTCTGCTCCACTCACGGCTCTGGGACCCAACCCAGGATAGAGCCTGAGCGGAGGGGGTGGCAGCACCCCCTTTCAGGTCCCCATAGCAGCCCCTGGAAGCCCAGGAAGGTTCCCCCACATCTGTGCCCTGAGGTCACGGGGCAGCGCCCCAGCCAGGGTCGGGTCTCCCTTGGGGAGAGCTGATGGTGGGTAAAGGGAGAAGGGGTGATGGGGGAGCCCCCGCGTGGCGGTGGGGGTGGGCGGAGACAGTGGAGGGGCAGCACGTGGTCGGGGAGAGCAGCGTGGAGGTAGGAGAAGGGGTGCGGGGACCCCCCAGTGGGAGGCACTGCAGGGGTGAGGGGCATACGGGGTAGAAGGCGGGGGCTGAATGCGGAGCCGCCTTGAGCACGGGGCGCCCAGGTGGGGGCGCGGGGCGGCGCGGCGGGGCCGCTTTAAGGATGCTCGCGGGGATGCAGGCGTGACGTCACGGCCCCGCCCCGCGGGGTGATGCTGCAGCCGCAGCGCAGGGCCGGGGGCGGCCAGGCCGGGAGGGAGGCTGAGGCCGCGCGGGGGGCAGGCGGGACCCCGGCCTCGGAGAGGGATGCCTCGGCCCCGCACCCACAGGTACGGCTTCCCCGGGCGCCCGCGCCTGGGCCCCAGGGCGACCCGAGGGCAGGAGCGGGGCTGGCGCCTGGACCTTTGTTCCCCGCATGAACTGGCCTGTCCCGAGCTCTCGGGACACTCCCCGCCCCCCACCGCGCGGTGGCTGCAGGAGACGCCTGTGCCCAGGGAGCAGACACTGGCCTGGCCCCAGGCCTGACACCTGGGCAGGTGTCATCAGCTTCCGGTTCACTCAGAGGCACCCGGCCGTTCCCCGCCCCGGCCCCCAACAGCCCCCGCCTGTCCGGAGCCCCCAACTGAGGGTCTTCCCCAGCGATGACTGGGTTCACCGGCTCACGTGATTCATCCTCCCCAGCTTGGAAGGGAGCAGAGATGGGCGCAGAGCACCCCCAAGTGCAAGGAAGGTCTGGGCTGGGCGAGGCTCAGGGGAGTGAAGAGCCGAGAAAGCCCCCTGGGCCTGTCTGTTGCAGTTGCCTTGAAGTGTGAGCCTGAGGCCTGGCAGGAGAGGTGGGGAGGGCCAGTGCCCCCCAGCCTGGGGAAGTAGGCGGGTCTCCTGGGGAACCGCAGCCCAGATGAGGGACCTTACCTCTCTGAACCGATGACCCAGAACAAATGACAGCTCTGGATCCGTTACAGAGAAGTCCCTCTGCAGGGCGGAATCCACACAGGGGCTCTAGCTGCAAACTCTAGGGTCGCGCTCTCCTCGGAAGAGTCTCCCGGGCACTGTGGTCCTCTATCCACCCGCCTCTGTGTCTTAAGTTTCCCTTTTATAACATTCAAAAATGCACTTGAGGGCTGGAGCATAGCACAGCGGGTAGGGCACTTGCCTTGCTCACAGCCGACCCGGGTTCGATCCCTGGCACGCCAAGCACCTCCAGGAGTAATTCCTGAGTGCTGAGTCAGGAGTAACTCCTGAGCATCGCCAAAGGTGGCAAAAGAAAAAACCCCACAACTTGTGTTATTTAAAAAAGTGCACTTGGGGGCTGGAGAGATAGCACATTGGGTAGGGCGTCTGCTTTGCACGTGGCCAACCCGGGGTTCGATTCCCAGCACCCCATAGGGTCCCCTGAGCACCACCAGGAGTAACTCCTGAGTGCAGAGCCAGGAGTAACCCCTGTGCATCGCCAGGTGTGACCCAAAAACCCAAAAAAAAAAAAAAAGTGCACTTGAGTTAGGGGGCCCCCTGGGAGGTGCCCGTGTACTATTCGTGGCTATTCGTGGCTCAGTGATTGGGGGTTGCTGCCAGAGATGGAACCCGGGGCTCCTGCATGCGTTCAACTGACTCCCCAACCCCAAAGGTGATTTTTTTTTTTTTTTTTGCTTTTTGGGTCACACTTGGCGATGCACAGGGGTTTGGTTCTGCACTCAGGAGTTACTCCTGGCGGTGCTCAGGGAACCATATGGGATGCTGGGAATTGAACCCAGGTCGGCCGCGTGCAAGGCAAACGCCCTACCCGCTGTGCTATCTCTCCAGCCCCGCAAAGGTGAATTTTAAACTTCTTAAAGTTTGCTTTCACGGTCAGCTCTTAGAAGCAAATTGTCTGTTTGGGGGCCACACCCAACGATGCTCAGGGCTTCCTCCTGGCTAGGCGCTCAGGATTCAGTCCTAACAGGGCTTGGGAAACCATATGGGGGTGCCGGGAATCGAACTCAGGTCAGCTGCGTGCAAGCATCCTATCTCTTACTATCTCTCCAGCCGCAGAAGGTACATTCTTAAATGAAAACAATAGGACTGATCCCCCCTTCCCCCCCAGCTTCAGGCCTTTTCTCTGAGCTCAGGCTTCATTCAGCTCAAAGAAGTGGCTGAGGGCTTCCTGGAGGAGGTCAGCCTTGCTGGGCCTGGCCACGAGCTGACTTTTGAAGCTGGGGGTGAGGGGTATGAGGGTGAGAAATGCTCAGCAGAGGGGTGCAGGTTGCCCACCAGCTCCCTTTTAAGGGGGGCTCAAAAGGTCCCCTTTCCAGAACCATCGACTACCACATGTGGCTTGTCAGTCTGTCCCAAGTGGACCCAGAGCTCACGAGGGTCTGGGAAAAAGGGACAGTTTCTAGTGCCCAGGACAGAACTTCCCTTCCGTGGAGTGAACGGCGCACAGGAGGCCCGCGAGACGCTTGGAGGGAGGCACTCGCCTCGCTTGCAGCTGAGCCAGGTTCAGTGCCCGGAGCCCTGCCAGGGTGGCCGTGAGCCAGTCAGGAGTAAGCCCTGAACACTGCGGGGTGTAGTCCAAAACAACCACCACAAAATGAAACGAAGTGTTCGCTGGAGAGGCAGAAGCAGAGATGCTGGGCGCAGTTCCGGGTCAGGGCAGGGGGAGGCGGAGCCACTGGCCAGCGCTGTGCCAGCCGGCAGTTTCCTTCTCTCCGAAGGGTCAACGAGGCCTTATCTGGAGCTGGCTCTGGGATTCTAGTGAATGGTGCCTGGGGCTGCTGACTGTTTGGGGGTGACGACCAGCAGCTGGCCGGCACTTTCTCTGGAGTCTTGATTCTTCAAGGGCCTGAGCTGGGCCACGGGGACCATAATAAGCCTGGAAGTGAGAGCTCAACATTTGTTTCCTTGGTTTAATCTTTACAATTGCTTCTGCTCCAAGGGATCTTACCGGCCGGCGTTGTTTGTAGGGTCTTGCCTGGTTTTAGAGGCGAGCAGACCTTATTCTAAGGTCAGGCAATAAGTCATTAGAAAGGTGAGACTTGATCGAGTGTCCGGCTGTCAAAGTGCAAAATCTCTGCCTCTGCTGGGCATTCCCGCTGCCTCCCGCTTGTCTCCCCTTGCCCTGCTGCCCCCAGCCTGCAGTGCTCTCCCCACCGCCGGCCCAGCCAGCTTAAGGCTAGTCCTAGAGTCTGGGCTTTTTCCTTTGATCTATGAGATCACTGTCCTGTGAACAGTACTCAGTACCCAGCAGTCAGCTGAGTGGAAGATGGATGGGGGGTAGGTGCACGGATGGGCAGCTAAAGGAGAGGAGGGTGGGTGGGTGGGTGGACGGATGGACGGACGGGTGGACGGATGGACGGATGGACGGACGGGTGGATGGATGGATGGATAGATGGATGGACGGACGGATGGGTGGATGGATGGATGGATGGGTGGGTGGACGGATGGACGGACGGAAGGATGGATGGGTGGACGGATGGATGGACGGGTGGATGGATGGACGGACGGACGGGTGGATGGATGGATGGATGGATGGATGGATGGACGGACGGGTGGATGGATGGATGGATGGGTGGGTGGACGGACGGACGGAAGGATGGATGGACAAACGGGTGGATGGATGGATGGATGGACGGATGGGTAGATGTGTGGGATAGATTGGGGACAGATGGATGGGCGGGTGGGTAGAACAGCGGGGTGGATGAAAGGGTGAATGAATGATGGATGGATGGATGGGTGGGTGCATAGATGATGGGAAGATGGGTGGGTAGGTGAATGGATGGTGGGTGAATGAGTGGATGGAATGGTGGGTGAGTAGGTAATGGGAGAGATGACTGCACGGATAAATAATCACGGATCAGTGATTAATGAATGAATGGGCTGATGGGAGGGAGGGAACGATGAATGGATGAATAGATGGATGAATGGATGGAGGGATGTATGGATGGACAGATGGATTGAGGGAAGGGTAGATGGATGGATGGATGGATGAAGAGAAGGAAGGATGGATGGATGAATGGATGGATGGACTGATGGATGAATAGGTGAGGGAAGGATGGACAGATAGATGGAGGGAACGAATGATGGATAGATAATGGATGAATGGACAGATGGATGAATGGAGGGATAGATGGATGGATGGACAGAAGGATGTTTGGATGGAAGGATGGGTGGACAGATAGAGAGCCAGGCAGTCTGTGAGTCAGCACAGAGCTCTGAATCCTGCCGCAGCATCTCTTGATGGAGTCACTGCCCTACTGCTGTCTTCTGGAGAGAAGGAGATTCTCTGTGAGGGGCTGGGGTGGGGGTTGGGGTGCAAGTGTGGGACGGTGAGGAGTCTGAGGGATTCATCGAGAAGCAATCCCGTAGGGTGAGGGAGGGTGCTCTGAGTTTCCTCAGGGCCTCATTCCTTAAGTCCAGGAGGATGGAAAACAGGCTGAGGGGCCGGAGCGATAGTACAGCAGGGAGGGCGTTTGCCTTACACACAGCCATTTGCTTTACACGCAGACACAGAGGTTCGACCCCCAGCATCCCATATAGTCCCCTGAGCACCGCCAGGAGTAATTCCTGAGCGCATGAGCCAGGAGTAACCCCTGAGCTTCGCCGAGTGGGACCCAAAAAGCAAAAAACAAACAAACAAAACCCTTAGAGGCTGAGGAGGCCCCTGTCAGGAAAGGCCCCGCTGGGCAGTTGTTTGGCCTTGGCCTGAGGACTTCTCAGGAAGGACTTGAAGGCATCAAGGCAGCAGTGAATGCGAGAGGAAGCACCGTGGACAGGGCCTTGTTTCGCATGCACTGCCGGGTGTGGTCCTCAAACAAACACAAAAGGCAGCAGTGAGAGCTTGGGAGCAGTCTAGACCCACACCCCACTGTCTGCCCCTTCCTTCCTCCCTTCCTTCCTTCCTTCCTTCCTTCCTTCCTTCCTTCCTTCCTTCTTTCCTTCCTTCCTCCCTCCCTTCCTTCCTTTCCTTTCTTCCTTCTTCCTCCCTCCCTCTTTCCTCCCTTCCTTTCTTCTTCCTTCCTTCTGTCCCTCCCTGCTTCCTTCCTTCTTTCTCCTCCCTCCCTACCTCTCTCCCTCTCTCCCTCCCTCTCTCCCTTCCTCCCTCCCTCCCTTCCTTCCTTCCTTCCTTCCTCTCTCCCTTCCTTCCTCCCTCCTTCCTCCTCCCTCCCTCCCTCCCTCCCTCCCTCCTTCCTTCGTTGCTTCTCCTTCCTTCCTTCCTTGCTCCTTCCCTTCCTTCTTCTATAATTTCCCTCCTTCTGTCCCTCTCTCCGCCCCTCCCTCCTTTGCTCTCTCGGGCAGCTGGGCTGTGTTCAGGGAGGGGGGTCAGAGCATCCCCTCCGGGGAAGAGGGCAATGCAGCTGAGGGGTTCCCACCTGAAGGGGGTACTGCCTGGGAAAGCCCCCCAAGTCACTGTGCTCCCCGATGCCTCCCTGCAGGAGTGCCCAGCAGCCGCCCCTATGATGATCCCCCCAGCGAGCAGCACCCCTCCCCCGGGAGAGGCCGTCCTCCCTGCCTGGGGCCCCCAGGACTTCTGGAGGTCCCACGTCTCGGGCTCCGTGAGCCAGCACATCAGCCACCGGGCCAACAACTTCAAGCGACACCCCAAGAGGAGGAAGTGCATTCGGCCCTCCCCACCCCCGCCCCCCAACACCCCGTGTCCCATCGAGCTGGTGGACTTGGGCGACCTGCACCCGCAGCGCTCATTGAGGGAGCTGCTGTCCAACGGCTGCATCCTGTTCGGCATTGAGTTCAGCTACGCCATGGAGACGGCCTACGTCACACCCGTGCTGCTGCAGATGGGCCTCCCCGACCAGCTCTACAGCCTGGTCTGGTTCATCAGCCCTATCCTCGGTGAGTGCGGGACACCGGCTGCCTGCGGGAGTAGCTCTATGCCCGTCGGGACCGCAAGAGCAGCACCTGGGTGCCCTGAAGTTCTTCTCCAGGCGGCGTGGGGGGGTGCAGGAGGTGGCGCGGGGGGAGGACGGGAAGGCCTGGCGGCCTCTGCGCCCGCTGAGTGGGTCCTGTGGCCCTGTGACTGCTCCTGTTCCCTAAGTCCCAGGACGTTTGCTGCAGGTGTTTCTGGGATGGGGTTGGTTGTTCCCGCGTGACCCTTGCCTGCTGTGTTCCAGGCTTCCTGCTGCAGCCTCTGCTGGGTGCCTGGAGTGACCGATGTACCTCAAGGTTTGGAAGGAGACGCCCTTTCATTCTTGTCCTGGCGATAGGTCTGTTGTTTGGCATTGCCATCGCGTGTGAAGGAGTCCGCCGCCCGCCGCTGCTCTTAGGGAGTCAGAGAGTATTGAGCAAAACAGTCATTTAGATGATCAGACTCACACACACACACACACACACAGACACACAGAAACACACACACAAACATAGACAGACACAGGCACACAGAGACCCACACAGATACACAGAGACACATGCAGACACACAGAGACACGCAGACATATACAGGCACTCAGAGACACACAGAGATGACACAAGACACAGACACACACACACAGATACACAGAGACCCACACAGATGCACAGAGATACACGCAGACACACAGAGACACACGCAGACACACGCAGACATGCAGATACACACAACAAACACACAGACACACAGATGCACACAGATTCACAGACATATGCAGACACATATAGACACACACAGATACACACACAGACACACAGAGATACACACAGACACACACAACAGACACACACAGACACACAGATTTACAGACATATGCAGACACATGTGAGCGTGCGCGCGCACACACACACACACACACACACACACACACATACCAGGGAGATGACTCAAGTTACAGAGCAGACAGGTAGCATGCGTGAGACCCCAAGTTCAATCCCCAGCACCCCATAGCTCCCCCAAGTTCCCCAGCCTCTTCCTGTTGGCTGAGAAGTGGCTCCCCCACCTCAGCACCCATGTGGCGCTTAGAAAACCCCAAACTTCCCATGCAGTAGCTCACACTCTAAGTCGGGGTGCGCCCGTTCTCCTGACCTGTGGCACGGGCGCCCCGCCTCACCCTTTCCCGGCGAGGGGAGAGCCCCCACTTTCCTTCCCTGCGCCACAGTGGGGTGTGGGCGGTGGCTTTTCCCACGGGCCCTGCTGGAAGTGGAAAGAAACGGAGACCTGCGGGAAGCTGGAGAGCCCAGACGGAGGGGCTGGGGTGGCCGGGCCGCGGCGTGTCCCCGCATGATGCTGTCTCTGTCCCAGGGGTGCTGCTGGGCCTCTCGCTCCTGCTCAACGGCAGGGACATGGGCGCGGCGCTGGCTGACACAGCCACCTCCCACAAGTGGGGGATCCTCTTCACCGTGTGCGGGGTGGTGCTGATGGACTTCAGCGCCGACTCGGCGGACAACCCCAGCCACGCCTACATGATGGACGTGTGCAGCCCTGCGGACCAGGACCGTGGCCTCAACATCCACGCGCTCCTGGCAGGTGAGGCCCCGCCCAGCGGCGGGTCTGGCCCCGCCCAGCGGCGGGTTTAGCTCCGCCCAGCGGCAGGTCTGGCTTTGCCCAGTGTCGGGTTGGCCCCGCCTATTGGCAGGTCTGGCCCCGCCCAGCGGTGGGTTGCCCCCGCCCATTGGCAGGTTTGGCTCCGCCCAGAAGTGGACCTGGTCCCGCCCAGCGGCGGGTCTGGCTCTGCCCAGGAGCGGTGCTCTGGGGAGGCCACACCCCATTCTGATTTAGAGACGTCTTGATTCCTAGGCAGCACAGTGGATAGGGCACTCGCCTTTCACCTGGCCGACCCAGGTTTGATCCCCAGCACCCTAATATGGTTCCCCAATCCATCCAGAAATGATCTCTGAGCACAGAATCAAGAGTATGGCCTCCAATTTCCGCCAAACAAAGGAAAAAATGTTGCTGCTTTACTGGAGTGGGTAGCAGATACTATGGAAATGCATGATGTCTGTGCGCACTTGGCATTGTCCGCCCACGTCTATGGGTCGGTAGCTTTCGGCCCGGGGTGCATCGCCCCCACCTCGCCACCAGCCCCTGGGAGATCAAGCTCCCACTCTGGTCATGTCAGGGAAGGCGCGGCTCCCTGACCTCGTTTCTGCTGAGAGTTGTGTGCGACGTGAGGGCACCGGCCCTCTCCAAACCCAGCTCAGGGCACTGAAACGAGGCGATGACCACGCACCCAGTCAGTCTCACTCAGGACGGGGAGAAGGTGGGCGAAGTTCAGCAAGGACCCTGAGGGAGGCAGCGCCCCACCCCCTCTGCTGAGCGCTGGGTCCACCCTGATTGGGGGTTACCAACCAGTTCCAGGGAGCAGGTCAAGTTGCAAATATGGAATCTGGGACTAATGCAGATCAAGTCTGTGTGTGTGCCTGGCATGCGCGACTTTATGCCAGGCATGAGAGCCACAAGAGGACAGGGCAGGGCTCAGCGGCAGTGCTGGCCTGTAGGTGTGGGGTTCTGGGTTGGTCCCCAGCACTGCACACGTACATCAGGAGCCCAGTAGGGGGACCCAGACTCACATAGCCTCCCGATCCGACCAGCAAAAGGGGGCGGGAGTGAAGTTCATCTGGATCAAGGACCACAGAACAGCAGCTGTGTCCTCTAGGGCTGATGCTGGGGGTGAGGCCTGGTGGGCCGGAGTCATCCAGAGAGGCGCACAAGGACAGGTTGGAGTGAGCGAGGGAGGCAGAGCTGCACTGGGAGACCCGGGCCTTTGGGAACCATGAGCATCTGTCACACACAACTCCACTGAACTGTGTGAACCAGTTTGACAGTTGCCTGGAATGCAGAAGAAAAGGCTGGATCTCTGCAACCCTATTGTTACTTGAGGGCCTGCTGACCCACACAGAGGGCTACCAGAGCAGGTCCAGCCTCCGTCACTATTAGTAGGGACTCGTGGGATGGGGGGTGTGTGTGGGGTGCACCTGAGGTTTTTGTGTCCGCTGAGTCTGGGGTGGAGGCTGCAGGAGAGAGGGTCTTGCATAAAGCAGAGAGGAAAGGTGCAGCTGGGGCAGAACCAGCTGTGTACAGGTGGTCTTTGTGCCACTGGCTTTGGAAGGGGGGACTCAGCAAGGTCTCGGCAGGTGGGGGTCCCCTGGGAATCTCGTTCTCTTTCGTGAGAGTTTCTCTAACGGGGTCTGCCTGGGCAGGGCTTCAGTCAGCGCCGTTCCCTACCCCACTCCCCCCGGCCCCGCAGGTCTTGGCGGTGGCTTTGGCTACGTGGTCGGTGGCATCCACTGGGACAAGACCAGCTTTGGGAGAGCCCTGGGCGGGCAGCTCCGCGTCATCTACATCTTCACGGCTGTCACCCTGAGCATCACCACCGTCCTGACGCTGGTCAGCATCCCCGAGAGACCCCTGAGGCCCCACGGGGAGAAGCGGCCGGCCATGAAGAGCCCCAGTGCGCCGCTACCCCCGTCGCCGCCCATGCCGGCTGAGGAGAGTGCAGGCGAGCCCGTCCCCTGCCCCGCGGGCCCTGGCCTCTATGCCAGCTTCTCAGGCCCCGTGTCGCCGCTCAGCCCGCTCACCCCCAAGTACGGCAGCTTTCTCAGCAGGGACAGCTCCCTGACGGGCCTCAGCGAGTTCGCCTCGTCCTTCGGCACGGCCAACCTGGACAGTGTGCTCATCGACTGCTTCACGGGCAGCTCCGACTCCTACCTGGCTGTGTCCGGCAGCGCCCCCCGACAGCCGCTCAGCGTCAGCTTCCCCCGTACCCCTGACGGCTTCTACCGGACGGACTGTGGCGTGGGGGCCCAGCTGGGGGACGCCCTGACCGCCGGCCCTGAAGGGGACATTTTAAGGGTGGGGTCATTGGACACCTCCAAGCCGCGCTCGTCGGGGATTCTCAAGCGGCCGCAGACCCTGGCCATCCCCGACGCGGCGGGGGGCGGGGCCCCCGAGACCGGCAGGAGGAGGACCGTGACCTTCAGTCAGCAGGTAAAGAGTGAGGGGGCCGCAGGGCTGGGGGGGTAGGGACCCTCAGAGGACAGGGTGTCCCGGGGCCCCGGGGTCAGTGTCTGAGCCCACGAAATGGTTCATCTCTGGGCCCCGATGCACGAGAACCCACCTACTGAGTGGGAGAGGGTGTCTCGGGGACCCCCGCTCCCCACGCCGGCCGTGGCATGGCGACCACAGACTGGCACATGATTGGTGGTGATTCTCGCTGTGTGCAGGGTGCTCCCAGCAACACCATGAGGGTCCTGGTGCCCTCCCACCCACTCTAGGACAAAGCGTTGACCTGCTCCCAGAAGCGGCTTTTGCATCTCAGGGCTGCAAAGGCAGAGAACTCTCCGGAAAGCTGTTTAGGGTGTGTTGGACGCCCTTCAATCGGGCCATAGTGCTGGCCTGTGGTGGCAGTTCTGGGGCAGGAGCACTAGACGCAGAGTACCCTGCCTGCTGGGCGGCCCTCAGGGGGCCCCTTTCTCCCAGTCTCAGGGCAGCTTTGCTCGGCTCAGGGGTCATGAAGCCGCTGGTCGGGCCGTGAGCTCAGTCCTGGAAGGATCTGGAACCTGGGCTCACAGCCTGGCAGCGTGTCCCTGGAGGGGGCCTCCTCTGTCCTCTCTGGCCACCGGGTCCTCATCATAAAGCCTGGTTTCTGCCGGCTGGTCGTGAGCAGGGTCACTCACTAGCTTCTTTTTAGGGGGGGTTGGTTGGTGGTGAGGGGGCCCCACCAATGGTGCTCAGGGCTAAATCCTGGCTCTGCCTTCAGAGATCACTCCTGATGGGACTTGGGGGGGACACGTGGGGTGCTGGGGATCAAACCCAGATCTGCTATGTGTGCAAGGCAGGTATCTTACCCACCGTGCTATGGCTCCAGGCCCTGCGTGGTAGTTCTCTGTGGAAAGTAGAAACGGAGTGAGGCCGGGCGTGATGGGGCCTCACAGAAACCCCGCGGACTGGGCAGCCGCTCTGCCACGAGTGCTGGGGGTTCAGCTCCCCGCACCGTGGGCTCTCAGGGGTCAGGTCGCGAGGACCTCTCTGCTCCCCCAGCTTTGCAGGGCCACGGGTGTGGCGCCTTGTTGTGGAGTCAGCTCTGAGCGCCGGGAAATCAGCCCTAGAATGTGAGCACTTAGACTCCACCCTGCGTGGTGGCCCGAGCACTTAGACTCCACCCTGCGTGGTGGCCTCACGTAGCCCAGAGCAGGGCGCCCCCTACAGAGAGAGGGGGACATGCACAGAGCCCCCTGCTGCCTGGAGAGATGCCCTCCAGCAAAGATGGGGCTCCACAGAGCGTACCCAGAACCGCCTTCCTATATTCCAAGTCAGCTGCACCTACCGTGGGGTTCCACTCTCCTTTGGGGGTCCCGAGAGGAGGTGGGAGGATTAGCCTGCTCTCCCTGTGCTAGGCTGGTGGGGGTGGGGACACTGACTCGGGCTTGGGGGGGCCCTTGGCAGGTGGCCAACATCCTGCTGAACGGAGTGAAGTACGAGAGCGAGTTGACGGGCTCCGGGGGGCCGGCCGAGCAGCCGCTGTCCCTGCGCCACCTCTGCGCCACCATCTGCAACATGCCGGCCGCGCTGCGCAGCCTCTGCGTCAACCACTTCCTGGGTGAGCTGCCCCCACCCGCTCCCTCCGGGGTCACAGGCAGAGCCCACTGCCCACTCCCCAGGAAGAGCAGGCAGCTCCGAGACGCACCCCTCTTCCCGTCTCCATGGAGACACTTGCTACCTCCCTCTTTCTCTTTTTTCTTTTTGGGTCGCACCCGGCGATGCTCAGGAGTTCCTCCTGGCTCTGCACTCAGGAATCACTCCTGGCAGTGCTCAGGGGACCCTATAGGATGCTGGGGATTGAACCTAGGTTGGCCGCGCAGAAGGCTAACATCGTCCCTTCTACCTCCCTCTTGGGGTGTCTCACCACCCCCTTCCTGCAGGGGTCACCCCAGTCTGGCCTCCCCACAATCTCCCTGCACCCCCAACAAAACTCAGGGTCCATTCTCCCCTCATCCCCCCACCAAAGCCAGCAGGGAGTGGCTGTGCTGGCATCTCCCACACTCTGCTGCTGAGAGGCTGGGAGGGAATCTTGTCCTAGTCTTGGGGACAAGGACCCCCGGCGGCACCTGACACTCCCGTCCCTGGCAAAGATTGTGATACTGTCTGAGAGCTGGATCCCGCGGTCCCAGGAGGACACTGCAGGCCGAATGCAGAGCAGAGCGGGGCCTGAGTGGCCAGCGCTGGGCCTCCGATCGTGAAGTTCTGTCCTCATCCGAGGGCCTGGGAACAACTGGGACACAGCATAGGGGGCTGTGTCACTATTGGGGTCTGGGCGCCAGTGAGTGCAGCCATCTGCTGTCAGGGAACAGAGATGCCTGTCGCTTCCTCCTCGTCACCCGCGGGACCCCCACCCTGGTTGGGTTCCCCCAGCATTTTTCTCTTCCCCATGAGAGGGGGTGGAAGTGGGGAGGTGTCGAGGAGGTGGGCGCCCTGTTTTCTTCTGGCAGGAAATGCTGGGGCCCCCCTTAGTGTCTAGGGGTCCAGACGAGGGCGCGGCCCACTGAGACTCAGCCCCTCCTGCAGGCTGGCTCTCATTCGAGGGGATGCTGCTCTTCTACACGGACTTCATGGGGGAGGTGGTGTTCCAGGGGGACCCCAAGGCCCCGCACACGTCGGAGGAGTACCAGAAGTACAACAGCGGCGTCACCGCGGGATGTTGGGGCATGTGCATCTACGCCTTCAGCGCCGCCCTCTACTCAGGTACGGCCGCCCCGGGGGCAGGGACCCATCCATGCACAGCGTGCCCTGCCGCCATGTACCACATCCAGGGGTTGTTACAGCACACATGTACTCTGTACCATGCATATATACATATATATATATCCACATACACACACACTACATATCACATGCTATATGATGTAATGCATACTACATACCACATACCAGTTATGCAACAGATGCCACGTACAGTATACAGTTTATTTATTTTTTGCTTTTTGGGTCACACCTGGCGATGCACAGGGGTTCCTCCTGGCTCTGCACTCAGGAATTACTCCTGGCGATGCTCGGGGGACCCTATGGGATGCTGGGGATCGAACCCGGGTTGGCTGCGTGCAAGGCAAACACCCTACCCGCTGTGCTATTGCTCCAGTCCCCAGTCTACACTTTATATCACATAAGTGTACATCATATACCTCATACATGTTAATACCGTATTACATACATGTGTTATATTGTGGTATGTACATGACATGTGTAATATGCCACATATACAAGTATCACATATACCACATATAGATATTATTCACCATATGCGAAGACCACATACTGTATGTGCTGTATCACATCTGACTGGTTCCATGTACTGCTGCAGACACCACATGGTGATGGTCTCTCGAGCTATTCTGAAATCTTCCATTACGGACCAACCTCCACACACCTGAGGGTATATGGTTGGCCATGTCCCTGTGCCCTTGCTCCCAGGGTGTGGAGTCTGCTGCATCCAGGAAGCTGGTCTCTGCCCTGGTTTTGGGGTGGTGCTGTTTGATCATCCTTGAGGATGTCCTGGTTGGGTGGCGGGCAGGGTCAGGTGTGTGCAGATCTGTCCCCTGGCAGAGGGGCTGCACCCTGAAAGCCCAGAGGCGGGGTACTGCCCTCCTGTGTTCAGATATCCAGGGGCAGGGAGGGCTGGAGGCCCAGGAGAGTCCAGGCTGCCAGTGTGGCCACGGGGCACATGCTGGACTCAGGCCAGAGGGACCCTCAGGGACCTGCAATAGACGTCCCTTTGACTGGCCACAACCCCCGTTCGTTCTCTCAGGCCTGACAGCTGGCACTGCCCGAGAGGTCTGGAAGCCAGAGACCCACACTGGGCCACATTCCTTGCCTGGGCACGGGGCCACCCTGTCTCTGGTGCTGTCAGATGCCAGCGCCCCTTAGCTGCTGGTGCCGGCGGGGTGGGGACTCTGCCCACGTTGCTCGCTTTCTGGGTCTGGCCAGGGCTTGTCTGCAGGGGCACGGCCGGTCCCTGAATGAGCCGAGCCCTTAGCCCAGGCCCCCTGGTCTCCACAGCCATCCTGGAGAAGTTGGAGGAGCACCTGAGCGTGCGTACCCTGTACTTCATCGCCTACCTGGCCTTCGGCCTGGGCACCGGGCTGGCCACGCTGTCTCGGAACCTGTATGTGGTCCTGTCGCTGTGCAGCACCTACGGGGTGCTCTTCTCCACGCTCTGCACGCTGCCCTACTCGCTGCTGTGTGACTACTACCAGAGCCGAAAGGTACGTGCTGCCCAGCCTGCCTCACCCCCGCATCTCCGCAGCACAAGGAGGCCTCTGCCCCTTCCACCCGGCCACGCGTGGGAAGGGCTGGGGAGGGTGGAAGGGGAGGCCCCATCTCAACCCCCCACCACCAGGTTCTGGGGTCCCCGAGGAGGCAGGTGGGCACAGAAAGCAATCAATCAAGATGCCACAGTCCCGGGACCCCAGGCACCCAGCGGTGGTGGGGGTGTGCTGTGGGGTTTCTCTCAGCATGGGGGTGACGCCAGCGCTGTCAGTTCCCAACATTACAAAACTCAGGCTCGCTCCCGCAGGCCCACTCCAAGCACCCCAGAACCATCCGCACTCATGGGCATTGAGATGGACCTCCCTGGGGGGATTGGCTGCACCCATGTCTTGGCGTTCTGCTGTGCCCCCAGCCCCGAGGGGGCAGTTAGGTTTGGTCTTGTTCATTTCATTTCCCATCTCTTTCCTCTGTGGCTGTGACGTCTGGGCGTCGCACCCTACTTGGTGCAGGTGGGTGAGGGGTGGCTACAGGGTCCCTCACCTGCCCGCCAGGGCTCCCTCCTTCAACTGTGGTTTCATACATGTGCTCATGGAGTTCTTCGGGCACTGGGCATCGAGGGGGTCCTGCGGGTACCGGGCAGCGAGGGGGTCCTGCAGACACCGGACAGTCAGGGGGTTCTGTAGGTGCCGGACAGTGAAGGGGTCCTGCAGGTACCGGCAGCAGAGGGGTCCTGTAGGCACTGGGCAGTGAGAAGGTACTGCGGGCACTGGGGGGGTCCTGCGGGCACCGGGCAGCGAGGGGGTTCTACGGGCACCGGGCACTGCACTGGCGGCCTCGGCTGGCAGAGGAAGCTGCCTCCGTCCGGGCCAGCTCCCAGCTCTCCACCCTCCTGGTTCCGGGTTCGGGTCTGGGGTCCAGCAGGGGCTTCCAGAGCCCAGAGCTATTGGGTGGAACCCCTCCCCTCTGGGACCCCTTCTCTCTGCCTCAAGTCAGACAGGCTAGGCCCTGGGGTTCCACTTTCTCTGGCAGGAACCGAGGGGGAGCCACGAAGGTAGCCGAGGGCATCTGGGCTCCCGCTGGACACATCCACGAGCTCAGGGAAGGGGCCAATCCTGTCTCCAGGCTCCCCACGGCTGTTCCATGCGGCTCCTGGGCCCTGGCACTGGGGTGGAGGGGCACTCCAGGTTCTGGGCCATTCACCAGATTCTGCTGTTGCTCGCACACCTATGCACTCTGCTGCCTGGAACCGTCTGATGACGCAAAGTCCCCAGAATGCAGGCTGAGGGCCCGGAGGCGCCCACCCTTGCTGGCTTGAGGGTGACAATTCACAGGACCCCAGCACAGTTCCCATGGGGGACAAACTGTCCTGGGGACAGGGCGGGGACCCGCCTGCCTCCTATCACCCTGTGGCTCTCCCTGAGTGTGGCGGGTGGCAGGGAGGGACACAGTGTGTCCCAGCTGGGGCGACGCGGCTGAGCACTGAGGTGGACTAGGCTGGGGCGCAGGTGAGGGCAGGGGAGCGGCGGTCCCATGGGGCAGGTGTCTTCTAGGGGGTGGGGGAGCCAAGGGCTAGTGCCCCAAGCACGTGCCTAGCGCGGCCTAGACCCACACCCAGTGTCTCTTGGGGCACACACACGTGGGTCCCGAGGCCCATGTCCTGCTGATGTGCGTGTCTTTGCCAGTTCGCAGGGTCCGGTGTGGATGGCACCCGGCGGGGCATGGGTGTGGACATCTCCCTGCTCAGCTGCCAGTACTTCCTGGCCCAGATCCTCGTCTCCCTGGTGCTGGGGCCCCTGACATCGGCTGTGGGCAGCGCCAACGGCGTGATGTACTTCTCCAGCCTCGTGTCCTTCCTGGGCTGCCTCTACTCCTCGCTGTTTGTCGTGTACGAAATCCCGCCCGGCGAGGCTGCTGACGAGGAACACCAGCCCCTCCTGTTGAATGCGTGACCCGAGTTCCAGCTAGGATGTAAATATGTGATGACATAATAAATGGCAGCCACAAACCTGGCATTTTCCTATGTGGCTCTCCTGGGGGGGGGGGGGGGATGGTGTCCTGGGTCGCAATGGCTTCTTGACTTGCAGCTTGGTGGTTCTTGGCGGGGGGGGGTGAAGGGGGGTGGGGGTTGTCCTCATCTGCAACCTGAAGGCTGCTGCCACCTGGGGCGCAGGCCAGTCCCCAATACCAGGTCCCGAAGGTCAGTAGTGCTTGGTGGCAAGGCCTGGACTAACAGACCACTCACGCTACACATTGCACCCACTCACCATCCAGCCATCTACCACTATTTATCACCAGGACACTGACCCAGCTGTCCATCCAGGGATCCCTCAGTCAGGAAGTCAGTTCCCAGTCAGCACCCATACACCCAGCCACTCAATTGTACACCCACTCACCCTTCATCCACCCGCTCACCTCCCTGTTCACCCATCCATATGTTCACCCATTCAATATCCAACCATCCATCACCCCCCTTGCATCCATCCATCCACACCCCCTTCCAACCATCCTTGCACCTACCCACTCATCCTTGCAGCACCCAGACCCCCGCATCCATCCATCAGCCCACCCACACGTTCATGCCTCCCTCCCTCATTCACAGCCACCCGGCGCACAGCCCCCCTCCCAGTGCCCATGGACACGGGTCTGGATGCAGCTCCGGCCCTCCACGGGCCAAGGCCCTTGCCGAGACCTCAGTGCCTTCCTCCTCACTGGGCAGCCCCTCTCCCCAGTATGGTGAGCACTGGCTGAGCACTGTGGGAGGAGGCATAGCTGCTCACTCCTGTACTCACCATCTGAAACCGGGACAGCCCCTGGCTTGGGGGACACACAGGACACACTGGTCTCAAGACCCCAAACGGCAATGGGGGATGCGGGCCTGCTGCCTGCCTCCAGAAGTCAGGGTTTTGAGCACCTGACATGTCCCTTCTCCTGCTCTGGGCACAAGACCATCCCCCCCATCCTGTGGACTGACACCTCCTCACCTGTCACGTGCTGTCCCCGCCCTGGGTCAGGATCTCTGCTCACCCCTGCCTCCTTACATCTGGGGATCCTCAGAGAATCGGTTGAAACTCTTCATGCCTGGCCTGGTCCCATCTGTCTCTTGAGGTCTCCATGTTTGGGCCATGCTCTCCAGGAACCTCTAAATGGTTTTGTTCCCACAGAGCCGAGCGACAGTACAGCGGGTAGGGCATGAGTCTTCCATGTGGCCGGGTTCCCTCCTCAGCACCATATGTGGTTCCCCAAACCCGCCAGGAATGATCCTGGAGTACTGAGCTAGAAGCCCCGAATACTGCCAGGTCTGGCCCAAATCATCCCCCGTCCCCTTTGCCCACCGCCCCCCCCCCCCCGAAAGAACAAAAACAAAACCAAGTTTTGTTCCCAAGCAGGAAGGTGCTATGTCCGGCAGAAGGCGTGAGCCAAAGAGTCCCCGGAATCTAGTTTCTGGAGGCCCGAGTGGGGTGAGCTTATGCCCCGAGTATTGGGCACATGCAGGGTACACAGGCATCCTTCTGCGGCCACAGTGCTTGAAATCACCTGTTTAGACCTGCTACCCACTGGGTGCAAGTGCCTACTGTGAGCAGCCCTCTGGGTCCCTCATCTCAGGGACCCCCAGGTCCCCTCCCTACCTGCAGGAGACACATCCTTCGCACTCCTGACCCCTGAGCTGCAGGGAATGCGCTCCTCCCCACCGAGCCCACAGTCAGCGCCAGGCAGACATTGCCCCCTGGTGGCCAGGTCTGGAGTAGCAGCAGGGCTGAGTGAATCAGCTCTCCATGGGCTCAGATATAAGGACCCTGAAGTTCCTTGGGTTTTTGTTGGGGGGCCACTCCCAGCAGTGAGGGGGCCTCTCTGGAGGTGTTTGGGGTGGGGGGCATGTGGTGCTGGCTGGCATGAAACAGTGTCCCCCACAAGTGCTGAGTGCGCAGCGCTGTAAGGCTGGGTTGGGTAGTAACCGAGTACTCTGGGCCGCTCTGATTTTGTGTCCTCCATACTCGCGGGACTCAGGTGTGGCTCAGGTGAGGCCCGAAGCTTTGGGAAACACTGCATGTAGCGGCTCAGCAGGGGCAGCAGGCCCACCCTATCAGGGCGACTCAGATCTCCCCGGGGCAGAGGAGCTACTGTCCATCCACTGGACACTGCCCCACAGGCTGAGTGAGGTGACTAGCAGGGTCTGGGATGCAGGGCAGGGACGCGCGCGGCGAGGGCTCGGGCATGCCTCCCGTCCCCCATGACACAGTCCACTGGATGACGCCCTGCTGTTGTAGTGTAGCTTAGTTTTATTTATGTCCACAAATATTTCAAAAAAATTACAAAATACTCAAATGGAGAGAACACAGAAGTCACGATTTTGGGGTGTCTACTCTGTTCACACTGTGTTATCTCATGGCAAACTACTCATATATATACATTTAGCTTCCAGATATATAGAAACGTAGCAAACCGGCATGTCCGCGCTGCTTGGCGGCGGCAGGCAGGGGAAGCTCAACCTGACGACATTGAACAAGGTACAAAACACAGGAAGGAGAACCAAGGGGACCCAAGGGCCGGCTTCAGGCACCGGGGGTGTGGTTGGCCAAGCGGTGGGTTTAAAGTGGAAGAATCTCATTGTTTCACCTTGGGAAAGGGGAGAAAACCCAAACGGAACGAGATAACGCCTTCAGACAGCTTTCAAGCAGACTTCCAAGCACTTCACTCTCTCTTCTTTGGAGAAATGGATGACAGAGGAGAAAAAGGTTTAAATGAACACGGGCGTGGTGTTGCCCGAAAGTAAGATCTGGGAGACGTGGGGGCGCCTGAGGGCAGGCGTCTTGGCCAGGGCCACAGTCTGGGGTGCAGAGCTCCCCACTCCCACTCACCCTGCTGGAACGGGCCTCCCAACAACAAAGGATTCATCTGAGCCTTGCCTCCCCTTTAAGGAGCTAAAGTTAAGGCAGAAATGGAATGAGAAAACGCAAGGAAAAAAACATAGAACATTTTTAACAGACACAATAATCCTCCATCTGTCCCAACTGAAACCAAACGGTTTGAACAGAACCGAAATGCCCCTGATACAGGCCTGGAGTCGGGAGCCAGATCCCAAGCCAAGCTGCTGCCTGCGGGTTCTGGGTCCAGGCGTGGCCTCCCCTCTGCCTCGGTGGCCCCGCTCTCTGGCCGCCACCCACAAGTGTCTTCTCATGGTCTGTTCCTGGACGTGCCCACATGCACACTGGCAGAAAGAGCCTGCCAGAGTCTGGAGAGGAGAGTGGGGGCATCCTGGAGAGGCGGGATGGAGAGGTGCCAGCGCCCCCAGAATAGTCTCACCCTCAGGCTCTGGCCAAAGTGCACGACGTCAGCCTCTCAGGCCGTGGGGCCCGATTCCGGCTTCCCCCTGCTGTTGCCTCCTGTTCCTCCTCCACGGGCTCTCCCGTATGACGTGGGCCCCCAGGCACAGCGCCTGCCCCTGCGCAGAACTCAGCAGCCCCAACAGGCCGGTCTAGGGGATCCCTCACTCCAAACCCCTCATCCAGAAGATGCCAATGGCGCGCGTCACAAGGGAACCTGGCGGTTCTTCCGGCAAGCAGAGACAGACAAGTGCCGAATCACTGCGGGGAATCGGCGCCTTCAACTTTCCAGGATGTCTATGAAACGACTGGAGTACTAACAAGTTAGGCAGCTCACTCAGAACAACCGAGTGTGCGTGCAGAGCGAGGGGAGGGACTCTGCCATCGGACACGCGATCCGCCCTGCGCTCTGGCTGACAGGGGCCACTGAGGCTGAGCGCGAGCTGGGACAGGCGGAAGGAAACCAAAGCAGCAAGTCAAAGAGTCTATGATATTGTCCCCTGCAGACCCTGGGATGCGCGCCTGCGACCTGACCTCATCCCAAGCTCTCGCCCGTTTGTGATTAGCAACGGCCACCTGTGCCCTTTAATTAAAGGGATAATTATATATAACTTTTATAAAAAATCAACTCTGTATTCTGTCAATAGCTGGTAGGAATTCACACTTAGTGACATGGCTGGGAAAAATAGATCAGAATAGTAGTTTGTGGAAGGAAAAAAAGGCTGTTCTAAAATTATTTATTTACAGACGTAAAAAGCCATGCTGCAGAACTTTCTCAAATTATGAAGATTTCCTACAATGTATTAAAATAAAAGATCTTTTAAAAATTATAGCTCTTGGATTCCAAACTCATATGTCATCTAGCTGCAAACCCTGCGGGTTTGGGAACACACCAAGCCGAGCTGCCTGCACGCACAGTGGGGAGCGTGGGCTGGATTCTAGCACCTACAAAGAACTCAAGAAGGAAAAGAAAACGAAAGCCGAACCCCAAGACTGCAGGAAGGTTTCCGAGTGTTCAGCCCCTCCCGGGACGAGCTGCCGGGGGACCGTCATGCAGGGAGACCGCGCCGTCTCCGACTCCTCTCTACAACGACACTAGTATGCTGAGACATTTTTAGTTGTGGGCTTTTAAATAGGTCAAGAAATCTCTTTAGAAGATACTCTTCGCTTTGCAGCTCCTCTCGTATGTAAAAAGTCCTGTTTCTCCCCCAGAACTGGGGCTTCCACAGCCGGCCTTAACAAATAAATAACTTAAAGCTGCTTGTCCCCTTCTTTCTTCAGTCGGCTGCAGAGAGTGAAGGAGAGCGCGCTCAGCCTCAGGTGTGGGCAGCCCCCCGCACCCCCGGCTCCCCAGCTGGGTGCTTCTGTGGGCTCCCGCGCAGGGGACCAGACAGCCTTACCTGTAATAATCCTCCTGGCTGGGGAGGTGGCCGCCGTGCATGTGGGGGTGTCCGTGCAGCCACTGCTGCTCCATGGCCAGTCTCTGCAGCTCGGCCGACTGGGCGTGCATGGCCTGGAGCTGGTGGGCCGCTGACATGGGTGGTGGGATGGCCCCGGGCAGGTCTCGAGGATAGGGGGTGCCTGGAACCCAAACAGCCTCCGCTGTGGAAAGGCCCCGACAGCCTGCCAGGGCGCTCCCGTGCTCCCACAGGAGGCAGAGTCCCCGGGAGGGGCTGCGGGTGCCAAGCA